GAGTATTTCAAGTCTTTTCACGACGAAGATGGAGTTCTTTTTGGAGATGGACATCGCGGCAAAGGACATGGTGTCCGACTTCTGGCGTCTGGTGAAGCCAGGGATCATTTGTCCAGTCAGATCGGCAGCCTAACCGTCGGTAAGCTTGTGTTTGGATCCCGTTCTGCTCGATGTGGTAGATCACAAACAATTTGATATCGCACAAATTGATCTCAGCACTGTGCATACGTTATTTTATATTCAGAAAATCCCAAAGTGTCTCTTTGTGGCCGTCCTATGCCACGAGAAACTCCAATCAGGCTCCTATGTCCTCTGCCTTCATGATTGAATGTCCACTTTGTTTGAACAACGAACACAACAATCGAGGACGGCTTTGCAATGAAAAATACAGCTACACTGGAGCTGAAAAAATGAAGAAAAAAACGTGCTCAGGATGAGACTCGAGTACATGCATACTCTCCCAGAAGGTTAAACGCATTTTTTTGTGAAAAATGCGTGTCGCCGAGTGACCAGTAATTTCGCCTGACGAAGCGCGGTGTTTAGAAGAGTCTCTCTTTGCACTTGTTACTATAATAGAGTGGCATATTTGAACTACAATTCTAAGAGTGCCAGTTTGAAAATACGTTATAAATTAAAAAAAATCTTCATTGTTTTGGTGATCAAGCTGGTACAAGACAAAGAAGATGGCTGCACCAAACGACTTGTTGTTGTTGTTGGAGGTCGCGCTTCCTGCCGAACTGACTGACACTTGACTGGCTCACGCCATGTGAACACACCCAAAACACTGCAATGGTGTGAGTAAATATGGAAGTCCTCGCGCTGAAGCTTTTTGAGATTTATTCTAGTATTTCAAGATCGCCAACTATTAGTAAATTTGAATTTAGCAGTCAAAGCCGTCTTCTATCAGCGTTCACAAGCGTCTGCTTTTCTCAAAATGTTGTCGAAGTCACACGGATAGCTTTGCCAAGTCATGGCCTTGGGAATGAGTCCATGTCGATGTCGTTTTCGTCACACGGTGAGTATACTGCATCGCAGCTATTTTGGTCACAAAACGAATTGGGACCCATGCCGCTCGTCAACATTTACAACACTTTCGTTTCGACATGTCCTCTCTGACTCCATTATCGATACAAGGAAGAACTCGTTTGTTGTAAACCAGACGTACATGATTGTATCAACGTGAGTGAGTTGTCATTTTTCCTGCTTTCGAGCGGAATATTTCTTCGAGTTCACAGTGAGTTTTTCCAGGCAACGTTCGAGTGCTCATACGGTAAGACGCCAAACTCCGTGGGCGATCGCCAGGATTGCAAATCTTTTTGAAACGGACTGTAGGTGTCAGGTCGCCGAATGTCTCAGTACTCCTTGTCAGTTTTGTGCCATTTTATCGCACTTGCTGGCTGTATAAGGTCTGGTTACGTTGGTGGACAGTTTGTCATAACTCATAGCCAGCAATGGCATGTCATCACGTACATTCAAAATCAACATAATTTTGCGAATCGACCTTTTTTTCAGCATCACTTTTCAACGAGGACGAAGCAAAGTCGGCCGAACGAAGCCTAGAGGAAGAAAATCACCCTCTCCACTTCACCATCACGATACTGACATAGATACGAGACGAAACAACTAAAAAATCCACAAGAAAACTGATCGGCCATCATCGCGCTGACTTTGGTCTGACTTTGGGCTGAGAATTTTCTATCACGATCAAAAATGTACGAGGAGCACTCAAAACTAAGCTACAGACGTACCTTTATCGCTCTCTACTACTTTTTCAAGGCACCAAAGTCGACTCTCCACTTTCAAACCATGAACCAGACATACCAGTTGTCCTTTTCAGCTGCTCCACGAGCACAGGTAATGTTCACCAAGGGGCGCAGAGCAGCCTCCATTCCGGCCAAAAACCTAAAATACGAGTAAACCTGCATGCCTGAGTACATGAGAACGCGCAGTAAACAGTCCAAGCCAGCGTTTCTGATCTAAACAGCAACTAACAAACTTTGAGTTTGACTGGCTACAATTCCTACATCACAGCTAGCATCAACCAAGGACTGTTTTTTTTCTCAGATTGTTTGGCTGACGACTACTATCTGTCACTGTTCCTCGTGCAGCAGTCTTGGCCCAGGCCAGGCTCAACCAATCACAAGAATAATCTCCATAGTAGCCCATGGCCCATGCAACAAGTATGGTTGATATGATGTAGTCACGACTCATGTGCTAGGCTCAACCAATCACAAGAAAATCTCCATAGTAGCCCATGGTCCATGCAACACTATGGTTGACATGATCATGTGCAAGCCCCAACCAATCACAAGACTGTCTCTATAGTAGCCCAAAAAGTGTGGGAAAAATGAACTAATTCCTAGAAATGGCTAGAGAGATGTCACAAGACAGTCTCTATGGCAGCCCAAAAAGTGTGGGAAAATGAACTGCATCCATCAACAGATTCCTATAAATGGCTAGAGCAGGGGCACTTCCACTTTCCAGTCACAGTGCAGAAGTGTGACATGTGCCCTCTGCCAACATGGCTTCCTCTTCCTCAGTTACTGTTACAACTGACACCCTTGTGTCAGCACAGTCAGCCCAGACTGAGGGGAGCCAGAGCCAGAGCCAGACCAAGACAGGACAAGGTATTGTTGTGGAGGTTCCACTGAGTATTCTATGTTCCCAGCACAAGGACTGGAACGATTTTTTCAGTAAAACAGAGGCCGGAGGAAAGATTACCATCAAGGATGGCAGGCAACGGGAGCTCTTTGAGAAAGTGCAGAAGGCACGTTACTGCTTCGAGCAGCAGAGAAAAAAGAAGAAGAAAAGTGCTGAAATATGTTACAAAGGTAAGCACTGATAATATTGTACCATAGTGAGAATAGTGATGAAAATAAAGAATGGTATCAAAGGAATATTGTGATTATGAATCTCCTCCTTTCCAGGGCGAACCTATGAGCTGCGGCTTCATGAAGCTGACATCGTCAGCAACGCCAGCGTCAGCGACTTGGCTGCCATGCAGAGGCGTGTGGTGGAGCTGGAGAGGGATATCGAGAAACAGAACGACAAGGACAAAAATTTGCTTATGAGAGGGAAGCCGTTAGACGCAATCAGCCCTCGTCAGAGGAATAGAAGAATGTCGAGACTGAGAGATCAAGTGCATTCGGCGCTGTGGTTTACAGAGTCGTTCGGCTTCAGCCTAGAAAGTGTCGTGCTTCGGAACAAAGATGACCAGAGTACGACTACATTGCAGCTCACTGAAAAAGGCAAGTCAACGCAGTGCTGCATAATGCATTTCGTTTCCCTTGCACAGAGATGGATGGTGCAATTGTATATTTATTCTTTTTTTTCTTTGTGGTATGCGTGTTTACTTCCTCAGAGAACAAATCGTACGATGAGATGACGGACGGCGAACGCGAGTAAATTGAAAAGACCTTGTTCGTGCTTGACCAGTTTTGCGGCAGTGATGCCCTCTATCATGAGTTAATTCAGGTAAGTTATAAGCTGCTATGCTGAGTTGGAATATAATGTAGCCGTTGGTCCACAAGTTTTCACGGCAATAATGTAACATGTCCTTCGCATGTCTTTCGCACCCTAAGTGGATTCATGCAAAAGTTTATGATCTTTAGTGCAGTGTGAGTGACCTACACGACCAATAATAATTTTTCCCATTTGTGTCTTTCCCTCAAACCAGTGAATAATAATAAAAGTGGAATATTTCAACTCGTCTGCTGCAGATTGCGCCAGCTAGCTGCAGCAGACGCCAAAACTGCACACCGTAAAGGAGTGCAGTTTTGGCACCTGAATGCCACAATTGGCAAGGATATTGAAAAAGTGCCAGGACCACATGCTGGAGCACAGAGGAATCTGCTTCACGCCATAACAGCTCAGTTGGGAGACATGGTAGGTGATTTTTGAGGTGGGGCTCATTAATTCACAGTCAGCTTGTACTACCATTGCAATTAGGTTAGGCGCCATTTTCCCTAAGCTGATATATTTGTTTTCCCGTCCAGGATGATATCCCACCCAAGGTCCGCGTGAGGGTGAGTTGCGATGGCGCCAGGATGTCCCGGAAGAGCAATTTTGTCATCGTGACGTATTCCCTACTCGACATCGAGCAATATTCGTCCCCGAAGGGTGAGTTATATGCCTGACGGCCCAAAGTCTTTCAGCACAAATTGTACACACATACTACACTCATGATCCACGTTTCAGTATGCAAAATCTTTCGTGCACTGTGCAAACCCCGAAGCCAAAATCTTTCGTCCACTGTGCAAACGCCGAAGCCGGGGTTTGCCCAGTGCACGAAAGATTTCGCATACTAAACATACGAGTTGTAAAATCACACCTGTTTGTTGTTTATCCAGGAAACCATGTGATTGCTGTTGTGAATGGCCCAGAGTCCTATGCAACTCTCGAGACCTCACTGAAGGATGTGTGGTTTCAAGTAAGCAAGCTTGCTGCTGACAAGAAGGTCGTTGTGAAGGGCAAGGAGGTGACAGTCGAGACTATTTTGGGTGGAGATCTCAAGGTAAAATACACTCAGAATTTCCATGTCTGTGTATTTGCACTGTCGTCTCCCGGTAAAGGGGAAAGAGACAATTCTAGTTTACAGTATATTGAGTAAAACCTAGGAATGAGGCTGACGACGATGACAACAAACACACATAGCATGACACTGTATAGCAGTGGATAAGCATACCTTGCTGCTATGTTCTTGCTTTTTCCGCTGCAGTTCCTGGGTCTGGTGCTTGGCTTGAGTGCAGCGACAGCGCATCACGCGTGCTGTTGGTGTAAAGTACACAAAGACCACAGGTAAAGTCACAAACGTTTAGTACTTCTGATCTCAACGGTAATGTGAAGAGAGAGAACCCAATCAAATGTTCGTTTCAACATTTGAAAATGCTACGGCAGATACAGTTTAACGAAAGATTTTGATCTTGTTCTTGCCATTTTCTTCCAGGTGGAATGTCGACTTTCCCTCGAACAAATACACGGATCCCCCATTGGCAAGAGCCATGGGGGAACTACAAACCCAAAACCCCGTCGTACCATCGGCTGCAGAGGCGGGACCGCCGAAACGCGGTAATAAGTTTGGCCAGAAAGCCAAGCCCCTTGTCAACTTGCCATTGGAGCAAGTTGTTATAGACGAGCTGCACCTCATGTTGAGGATTACCGATGTCCTGACGGACAATTTGCTGCAGCAGACAATGTGGCTCGACAAGCAGGCCAAGTCGAAGACGCTTGCTGGCCCACACACTGAAATGCTGGTCACCGCCATCAGTGCATGCGGTGTCAGCTTCAGTGTGTGGGAAAAGACTAATGCCGACGGCTCAGGCAGTGGCCGCCTGGACTTCACCAGTCTGATGGGGCCCGATAAAAAAATACTGCTCCAGAATCTGCCCGAGAAGCTGGAGGGAAGTGGCGCACTGAATGCAGACACGGAGAACGACGTTCTGCTCATGTGGACGGTAAGGGTCTTAAACATGGCTCTATGAAAATACAATGCATTCTATTACGTGAGAGGCCTGTGTGTTGGGGACATCAATTTAACTAATGCTTACTGAGAAAGGTAGAGCAACGACTATGAATATTTCTTTTTCGTGTGCTATCCTGTGTGTGTGTGTGATTTGCAGACGTTCAATGATATCTACGCCAATCTGGGAAAAGAAGAGTTCACTGATGGCGAGATAACTCAACTTGAGGAAAAGGTATAGGTGTGGCAGGAGAGCTACTTTTATAGAAGGTATTCATGTATGAGGGAAACACTGTGATATAAGATATCAATACAAAGGTCATGAACGAACGAACCTCTTTTGATACTATTTTCTTACTGCTGCTTCTCGTGTTACTGCTCTAATCTTCATGTAGATGAAGACGTGGATCAAGCGATTCTGCGAGTTGGGATTTACCGCACCCGGCTTCGGCAAGAAGCGTGTTACACCTTACATTCATGCCATGCTATTCCATTGCCCGGATATTATTCGACGGTTTGGCAACTTGAAGCAGTTCACTGGAAATGGTGAGGTGCCAAGTCAATGGTCATTGTACAGTGCATTTAATTAGCCAAAATAGACCTTGCAAATGCAGACATGTCCCTCCTTGTTGTATACATCACGGCAGCACTATTCAGAAAGATGTCTTTTTACGAGTGATATTGGATAGCAGTTAACGAGACATTTTTACCTGGCTATTATTGGCTACAGGCGTTGAGAAGACCAACGATGAAGCACGGCGGAGTCACATGCAGAAGAGCAACAAGTGGGATGCATGTGCTGATGTACTGCTGCATAGCGGACGCCGTCAGATACTGAGCCACCACTGCAGAGAGAAGAGAAAATACAAGAAAAAAGACGAGGAATACTGGACCGCCAACATCAAGGAGAGCAGAAGGAAAAGAAAACGAATCATCCGTTAAGCAGCCAACAGCTATTAATATTTATTTCTATTCACTGATATACGGAACGTATTTTGTGCAATCTCAAAGCCATGAAGATCCAGAATATTTATTTCTATTCACTGATATTATAGAACGTATTTTGTGCAATCTCAATGGCACGAAAATCCAGAATATTTTTTAATTTCTATTCATTCATATATAGAACGTATTTTGTGCAATCTCCTTCACACTCCCCTGCATTAGGAAGAGAACCACTTCGTTCGGTCATTCTTGGAACCCTGAATGCCCTAGCCCCCTCCTTTCATTTGAAACAACATTTTGCAGCACAGTCAATATACAACACACCTATTTACAATAAACTACAACGGAGCATTATGTTTCTTTCTCTGACCTCACCATTCATGTGGCAAATTCCTTGCACTGCTGCTGAGCGAAGTTCACAGACCCGTACTGCACAGCAACTTGTTGTACTGCAACTATGTGCCCTGCCTCACCCCTAGTGTGATTTTTGGGTGACCTACGTACTGTAGGTCGCAGGGTAATGGGATAGACCACTTGAGGACCTTGACCAAACTGATCTAACACCCTGTCCCAACCTGGCAGGAAGTACTTTCCGGGGAAATCTTTTCTGTCAAGCGTCCATGCACCCCTGTTCTTTGGTTTGTCACCAAACCAGCACATGAGGATGTCACGCCGACAATGAAATGGCTCCCCGATTGCGGCACCAGAACGCAGCCTTTTCTGTACCGCTATAATAAAGCTGTCAGCAGCGGCGTGAAGCTCATCTGGCGAGAAATTGCTCTCGCAAACGCCAGACTCAAATGCCCTACAAAGACAAGAATTATGTAATACAGATGTTGAGCCAAGGAATAACTTGTTCCAAACTGTTCACGTCCACATTGTTGGAGTGGACCCCAACATAATTATAATTATGTATATTTTTTGAAATAATATTCCCTGAACTTATAATACTATTCGTAATTTCAAGACATACATGGGCTACGAATCCGTCAGGTCATTAGTGCTGCACGACATAGGCCACGAAAAAACTGGACTTTCAGTGAGTGATGTTGGCAAACTTGCAGTGTGGTGCAGCACTGTGCTGACCAATTACAACGAATACTCAGCAATGACAAATACATCCTCACCGAATCAAATCCTCCGTTATGTCAATGGCTTCCACCCAAGAGCTCTCCCTAGCAGAATATCCCAGCCACTTGACGAGGTACTGAACCTGTTGCCAAACACGCAAGAAGGTTTTGCTCCATTGTCAGCCGAGAAAATATGTGATTGCAACTAATATCGACAATATTCAAATTCTCACCTTCCTCTTTCTCCGTCGCTTGTCAAGCAGATAGCTGGCCCTATACACGCCGTCGTCTTCTCCACGGGATAGAGTTCGACGTGTATTTGGAAGGAAATCGGCAGTTGACGTACGATTCAGCGCCTTGTAATCTACTCGGGACCTCCGACTCATGGCCACAGAATTCCAAAATTAAACTAAGAAAAACTGAGAAAAAAACCTTGAAGAAGACTACTAGTACTACTACTAGTACTCTCTACTTGAACGCCATAAACGGTCACTTCTGGTCCGAGTTCTGTACAACCGAGCATCTCGCGGATGCTGCAGGCGAGGCGCAGCCAAATCTCACACCGCCGGGAGTGTAAAAATTACGACTCCCAGATGTCCTCGATTCCTGGCCATGCGTAACATTTTGTCCTTTTCCTTTCTTTATGAAACTCGGATGTTGAGCCATAAATAATTTTTAATGTAAAAGAGAAAAGGACATATGGATACGAGTTAAGAGTAACTCTCCATCACTGTAACATGATACTATATACAGTCAGAAAGTGCAATAACTAGGCACAAAACTGACAGAGTACTGAGACATACTGAGTACTGAGGCTTTTGCTCGTTTTCGTTGCGCTTGCCTTCCCCTCTTTGGTCTTTCCATAACCTTGAACCTTCCAAGTTGGAAGGCTGTCGGTTAGCGCTACGGAGATGTGTTGAAGTTAGGTGTCAGGACGTCGAATGTCTCAGTACTCTGTCAGTTTTGTGCCTAGTTATTGCACTTTCTGACTGTATATAGTATCATGTTACAGTGATGGAGAGTTACTCTTAACTCGTATCCATATGTCCTTTCTTTATCCTAATAATAATAATAATAATAATAATTTAAAAATTCGACGAGGAGACAATAATTTTAATATGGCAATAAGTAGAACGAGCTGAAGCGACATGTGGACTACTTTTTTAACAATGTAAGCGATGGAGACGATGCAAGAAACAATCTAAAGGGTAAGGAAAAATACATGTAAGAAGAAAAAGGGCAATGGAAAAAAGATGATTCGAACAAGTTTTCGTACAACACTCTTCAGGAATCACCGTTGTACTAAAGAACAAAATGAGAACAAAGGAACTAATATAGCAATCAAGGTAGGGTGACACGATACAATGACAGCACTGGAATATCGAGGTGCGATTTCTCACAAAAGCGTGCAGAACACAAGGGTATACAAGTAAGAACTAAGCGTGACAAGTGTGTATCAGCAACAAAAACAAAAAAATGAGAACGAATGATAATAATAACAATAATAAACAAGAAAATGAAGTTGAAGACATCACTGCAGCTGTACTTATGGTTGATAAATATGGTGGTAAAGACACACCTGGCAACATGGCGGTAAACACACGCCTGCCCACACACGCTCTCTAGGCTGCAAAGTTCAGCGGGGACGAAACGTACGTCGCAATCGAGCTATGTCGTTGCTGTGTCATCATCTATGTGCCATGCGCTACTTGATGTAACAGCCTGCTATGCCGGATACCGCCAGCCATGCATCGACCAGGCGCCAGGCGCGAACTGATGGTGGTGGTGGTGAGAAGGAGAGCTCTGTGCCAGAACTTTGCAGCCTAGAGAGCGTGTGTGGGCAGGCGTGTGTTTACCGCCATGTTGCCAGGTGTGTCTTTACCACCATATTTATCAACAATAAACAAGAAGGTGACAAAACACATTTAGGCACAAGTGGCAACAACGTTGCCACACTACACAAAAGAACATTATTTGACCAATTTTAGGGCAATAACACTATCTTTCTGGACACACAAATTCGGCTTATGAATGCGCTGACAAACAGCTTCCAAAACTTGTAACTGCAAAAGATAACTGATTCGGCCAGTGAGGGAGAAGGTGAGCTGAGTGAGGGTGAGAGTGAGTGTGAGGGTGTGCGCGTGAGTCGAGATTGTGTGCGTCCGTCTCGTAATAAGTCTTCAGTATACAATCATTTTCTAGTACTGACTGTTGTCGTACTTATTCTGATTCCTGTTTTTCTGTTTTGTGCCGTGCTCGTCATGGTTATCTTTTGCCATGATACCTCTGAGCTTTAATGTCTGTGATGGTACATGCGCCATTCTCCCTTCCTCTCTCTCTCTACCTTACTTTTTTAAGTTTTTTCCATATATTATTCCGTGCTGCTTACCTTTGGCTATGATAAGTCCGGTGAGTTAGTGCAATACCTCCAATTTTTATTTTTATTTTCAATTTGGAGTGGAATAAAGACTCATAATAATAATAAAAATGTAAAAAAGAAAAGGACATATGGTTACGAGTTAAGAGTAACTCTCCATCACTGTAACATGATACTATATACAGTCAGAAAGTGCAATAACTAGGCACAAAACTGACAGAGTACTGAGGCATTCGACGTCCTGACACCTAACTTCAACACATCTCCGTAGCGCTAACCGACAGCCTTCCAACTTGGAAGGTTCAAGGTTATGGAAAGGTCTGTCAGTTTTGTGCCTAGTTATTGCACTTTCTGACTGTATATAGTATCATGTTACAGTGATGGAGAGTTACTCTTAACTCGTATCCATATGTCCTTTTCTCTTTTACATTTATTTATGGCTCAACATCCGAGTTTCAAATAATAATAATAATAATAATAATTCAAAGGATCAGTCAAGGAAGTGAACTGCCTGAAAAGAGAAAAAAACGCCAGACCCACCAGGACTCGAACCTGGGACCCTGCTTGTCATGAGGAATGCTCTAACCACTGAGCTATGGGACCAGGCTGAACCTACAAGGCGCTGACAAGTTTTCACTGGGGGAAAAAGACCCAAGTGCCATCAGTATGTGTGGCACGTGTTGTGAGCTGCCTTTGGAGTGAAAAACTTGTCAGCGCCTTGTAGGTTCAGCCTGGTCCCATAGCTCAGTGGTTAGAGCATTGCTCATGACAAGCAGGGTCCCAGGTTCGAGTCCTGGTGGGTCTGGCGTTTTTTTCTCTTTTCAGGCAGTTCACTTCCCCGACTGATCCTTTGAATTAGAAGTTCTCCCAATCCTTTCCAAATTTAATCACTTTCTTTCACCTCTGGTAGTTTCCAGAAACTGACCGTGGTTGGTCCCCTGGGGGAGGGAAAAAGACCCAAGTGCCATCAGTATGTGTGGCACGTGTTGTGAGCTGCCTTTGGAGTGAAAAACTTGTCAGCGCCTTGTAGGTTCAGCCTGGTCCCATAGCTCAGTGGTTAGAGCATTGCTCATGACAAGCAGGGTCCCAGGTTCGAGTCCTGGTGGGTCTGGCGTTTTTTTCTCTTTTCAGGCAGTTCACTTCCCCGACTGATCCTTTGAATTAGAAGTTCTCCCAATCCTTTCCAAATTTAATCACTTTCTTTCACCTCTGGTAGTTTCCAGAAACTGACCGTGGTTGGTCCCCTGGGGGAGGGAAAAAGACCCAAGTGCCATCAGTATGTGTGGCACGTGTTGTGAGCTGCCTTTGGAGTGAAAAACTTGTCAGCGCCTTGTAGGTTCAGCCTGGTCCCATAGCTCAGTGGTTAGAGCATTGCTCATGACAAGCAGGGTCCCAGGTTCGAGTCCTGGTGGGTCTGGCGTTTTTTTCTCTTTTCAGGCAGTTCACTTTGTAAATATAGAGATAACACAGTGGTAAATCGACTGCTTTTATTGTTACAATAGTTCTGACGATATTAGTTATTTGAGTGTATTCTTACTTTGTAGCTGCGTCCAGGCTCGTTGGAATTCTCATCACGGACTCCATTCTAGTTTCGAAGAGATATATATTCTTGTCCGATTGTTCTCAACAAATTCCTCGTCTTGTGCATTTGTTATCAAACAAATTCTTCGTAGTATTTGCAGTACGTAGTCTCGCGCTCTTTGATTTGTTTGACTCGCGCGTGACTTTCCTTTCTTTTCTTTTTGTCATGTATGACGTATCGGTATGACGTGAGTGTGTACGCACTCTGTTTATGACCACGTGACTGCATGCTCACGTGGAACTACAGTCAGTAGGCTAGTGCATTTTAGCGACTGCAGCGATCCGATCTTCTTGCTGCAGCGCTGTTTCTTCTTCTTCACTTGTGTCTTTTCTTTGGTCGCTGCACTAGTTTGTGATTACCATGATTACGCGTCAATGGACGACATGGTCGCCATTTTGTGCATGTCCTTTTTCTTGATGGATCTTGGATCTCGTGGTATAAGTACTGTTTTCTTTTCTCCCAACTTTACCACTATTTCAATATTTCAACTCTCTTGATTCCTTGTTAATAGTTGTGGCTCAGTGCATGTGCGAGTGTGCTGGAGTGCTAGCTGGAAGAGATAGAGAGCATAGTGGTGGAGTAACAACGTGGTGCCGAAACCCCGCTGGTTTGGACCGGAGAATACGAGCGTGGTTTCGAATTGGAATTTTCTTGAATTCGTAAATTGTGTCCGGATCGATCGTTCACGTGTCGTGTGTTGTTCGCTGAGCACTGGTAGAGTGCTGACGAAGCGTGCTGTTGTGGCCTGGTAGTCGATGCCTCCTAGACTTAGGAACGCTCGAGGCAGGGGTATCAGTAGCACACCGACAACTCCGCAGGCGCCTGGACATCGTGATCGTGACATTGAAAATTTGTTGACTCCTGGGAGTCCTGAGGATA